TGTCGTCCTTTCAATCATTTTAATTGGTAATTTTAAATGGGGACAAAAATATTTTTTGCTAACACAAACCATAACAATTGCTTAATAATTAATGCAACAAATTGGAATATAAATAATTAAGTATGTGAACAATTATTTTTATAAAAGTTCAAATATTATTACTGTTAAAAAAAAAAATCAAAAGATAGTGAAAAGAGAGAGAAATAAAGAAAGAAGTAGGAAAGTAAATAAATAAATAAATAAATAAGCACAAATATTAATAGTAGACGGAATATTGTATAAATAATAATAATAATAATGATAATAATAATGATAATAATAACAATAATAATAATAATAATAATAATAATAATAGTAATAATTATAGTTATAATTATAATTACAATCATTATTATTATTATTATTACTATTATTATTAGTAATGATGATAATAATGATAATAATTAATAAGCGAATGAACAAATAAATAATTAAGTAGTTACAAATAATTGTTATAATAATAGCATTAATAAAACTTTCCGAAGAATGATTGGAATAATCAGTCTATCCATCATTTTCATTACTAATACATATATATATATATATATATACATATGCCAAATAATGGGCCATTTTAGGATTTGAAAAAAAAAGAACATCCTAAAATTGAAATTTCAATTAAGGTTTTCTCCCAGATATTCACCGATCCATGTTCTTCCATTCATCTTCCATTCTTTTTGTTCGTTTTCTTTCTTTTTTTATTCATTTTTTTTTTTTTTGATTTGATCCATTTCAATTTCCTTTTCTTTTATTCAATCAAATTCTCTCCACAAATATTTTTATGTCAAATGTCAAGAATTTTTCTTTCCTTTTTTTTTTTTTTCTATTATGCATAAATTGATGCGTCATTTAATACTTCATACTTTTTATCATGAAAAATTAATTAAGCATAAAAATGATTTGATTCGTTTAATCAGTCTTATAATATTTCATTTATTATCATTAATAAGATTTTATCAATTTATTTTTTTCTTTAGTAATAAAATTTTTGGCAACTATTTTTTTTTGTGTATGAAATTTTATCAAAATATTACTAAAATTTCTTATACAATTAAATTTTGTACAATTTTTTATTGATATTGGTTTAATTTAAATAAAAAATACACTGAAACATTTCTTCTTTAATTAGTCAATTATGATTATGAATTAATTGTACAAAAATGATAATGAATTTAATAGTATACGGTATCATCTGAATCAAATTGTTATCATTATTTCATTACTGGAAAGTGGTAGAAATGTAACTTATGAGATGGAATAAATTTTATTCGTTAAATTTAAATTTAAAATTAAATCAAAGAGCTTTGTTATTTCAAAATTTTCATCTTTTCCTTCACTATTTACCCTTTTATATGCAAAAAATGAAATCCGTGATATTGGATATTAATGTTTTCCATTACATTTACAATTTTTGAATTTATATCCAAAAAAAAAAAACAATCTAATAATATCAAGACAACAAATCTACTTCAACTTATTTCAGATTCTAATTTAAGCCTAAGTAGGTTTATTGTCTTCCACTTAACAAACTTATGAGATAAATTTCTTGGTGCAGTAAAATTAATCAATAATTTAAATTAATCAATATTCCACTTATATCATACAAACATTTTGTACTCAATTCATTAAATAATCCAATAAATTTGGATTATTTTTTAAAAAAAAAACGAAATATTAAATATTTTAGTAACTTTAAAGTAAATTTAATTTTCAATAACTTCAAATCGAATTCATATCCAATCTTAATTCATTTTTCTGGTTTCAAATTGATTTTAATTCTTTGTCATTTTAAATTAAACTCATTTCTTGCAATTTTCAATCGAATTCAATCATTTGTAATTTCAATTTGAATTATAAATTTTCTGGAGAAAAAACAAAAAGCCATGCATACATGATTGTTGAAAAAGAAGAATATTTCAAATGAATTAATCAAATTATAAATGATTTCAGTTTGATCGAACGGAATGAAATATATCCGAGAAATGCAAATAATATGACGAGGACAGCAAAACAACATAACACATTATTTGAATCATTTTTTGCCCGTTTAAAAGATGACCCAATTTTGGATGAGGAAGCTGATAATTCAGGTATTTCTTGTTAATATTTTAAATTTTATTCAAATTTCATATTGTATCAGAGAAAGATTTGAAAATTGAAAATTGAAATATTTTACCAATGATGAAATGATTAAAATTGAAATTATTAGTTAAAATTTGCAATTTCTAAATAATAATATAAATTTTTACAATACATAAAGCAAATCATAATTGAATTTTTTGAAATTTAAATTCTATATTAGTATCAAAATTAATTTTTGCAATTCTTTTTTTCCTAAAAAAAAATAAGAAAATTTTCTTTGAACTTTATCAAATTAATTTACTTATTAAATGATTTAACTAATTTTCATATGTGAATTTCTTTACCTTTTCATGTAAGGAAGAATTTAGTATAAATTTTTAAAAATAGTACCAATTCATTAAAATATGCAAATAAAAAGTTTGATTTAAAATTTATTTTTTAAATGAATAATAGGAATTTTTCTTTTTCCAATTTTTAGTATTTTTTTTTACTTTTTATTTCTTGTTTCATTTCAGAAGAATCGTTAAGAAAAATAAGTAATTTGAAAGTAAAATATCGTTTTGGTGATTATGGCTCATACAGAGATATGTTAAAATATATGCGTACAATCGAATTTTATTATCCACAGATAACAAAACTTGTACGAATTGGTGAATCACATGAAGGTGCACCAATTGAAGGGTTAAAGGTTAACACTTTTTTTTTGGACCAACTTGAGAAAAAAAAATTAAAAATTTGAGTTGAAACTTAAAAATAAGTAAAACTTTAGGAAAAACCTTGATTTTTGTTTTCGTTTAGAAAGAAAAGTGATAATAATATTTTGCTATGTCGTTAACAAATATTATTGTCACTGTAAAATTGATTGGCTTTTAGTTAATAACAATATGTATTTTAATTTATTAATATTAATAAAAAATTTCTAATTAATAATCGGTATTTTTGTTTACTGTTTTTTTCAAAAACAATAAACAAAAAATGCTATACAAATAAGCAAATAAATAGTGCTACAAATAAGCAATAAAATAAATGAATGATAAAAATCATTCAGTGCTATTCAAGATTGGTTATCCAATTAGCGATAACAATAAGCGAGCATTTTGGATTGATGCTAATATTCATGCAAGAGAATGGGCTTCAAGTCATACTGCGCTATATTTTATTAATCAGGTATGCATGCCATTTAAAAGTTCAAAGGTTAGAGCAAGTATTGAATGGCTAGTGACTAGTGTTAATAATTTCTTTTATACAAAGAAGATATTGTCCATTAGACAACAAATAATCAAATGCTTTCAAATTAATTTGCTAATATAAAATAGATTTAAATGCAAAACTTATTTAAGATTTCAAAATATTTCAAATCAATCTTTAATCATTCGGAATGTTAGTTAAAAAGTGAAAAGAAATTTCCACAACTTCTTCAGTTTAATTTTAAAAATTATTGTTTCAAAATTTACCAAAGATTTAATTGGAAGAATGCACAGAACAGATTTCGGCGAAAATTTTCAGTTAGTCTCAGGATTCGAAGTGGATCCGGTTATAACACGTTATGTAAGATCCATTAATATTTACATCTTTCCATGTTTGAATCCAGATGGCTATGAATATACACGATCAAAACCAAATCCTCAGGTTCTTTATTCTTTTTCTTTAGTTAATTGCAATTTACTAATTGAATTTCATTAATTACTACTTTATCAATTTTTTTTTTTTATTTCCATAGGATAATTACAAAAATTGATACAATATATGATCTTTATTGTTATAATAATACCACAATTATTCATAAACAGACATGAACATAAAGATACATTTTCACGCTTGTATATCATTGTTATTGTCATACTCATACAATAACCATACATATACATACATATCATAATAATGCTCATACAATAACCATACATATACATACATATCATAATAATGCTCATACAATAACGAGACATAATAATGCCAATACAATAACTACGCACATACACATATATTATGATAATGCTAATATAATAATCATGCCCATAAAGACATATTATGATAATGCTCATACAACAACTACACAGATATATAGTACAGTTGAATTTTTTTTTTTAAATTACAATGTATAATTGTTATTGTTATAAAAAAGCTCCATACAATAAAGACATGACATCTTTACACATACAGGCTCAATTTTTGCCTATAGGTTCGATTGTGGCGCAAAAATCGTTCACCACAAAAGTGCATTCGTTCATCATGGGGTGGGCGCAGATGTTGTGCAGGGGTTGATTTGAATCGTAATTTCGATTTTCATTGGGCTGGTTTGAATTTCTTTTTTTTGCCTTTCTTCCTTTCTTCGTCTGATAAAAAGATCAAAAATTGCATTTCAGTTAGTATTGGAAGAAATGATAAAAGTTGTGTCATGATAAAATGATTAATGACTGATGAATGATTAATGATAGAGATTTATTCAGAACTGCTGAAATACACTGTGGTGTTGTTGTTGTTGTTGGAATTGAAAAAAGAAAAAAAAAAATCGGACATCATGGAATGACCCGGTTTATTTCTCGATGATTTGAAATGGAAATTGGGACAACTGAATTCGAAATACAACACAACAAATATTTTTATATAAACTTAATTTAACAAAAACTTTTTAGAAGTTGGTTCAAGTGAAAATCCCTGTTCATACTTATATCAAGGTGAAAGCGCATTTAGTGAACCAGAAACAAGGTTTTTTTTGTTTCGTTTTTATTTTCAAGAGAAAAAAGGAAAGGTAAAGAATAAAATTAAAAAAGAATAAAAATTATTGAAATGGTACTTGGAAAGAAATAAATGAATGAATTTGTTGTAACTAATTAATTAACTAATTGACCATTTAAAAACATTGGCAAAAAAAACAATTATAGGCTGTATTTGAAAAAAGAAAAAGAAAAGAAAAATCTATAACCTTCCTATCCAATAAGTATCATTGTAATCTATAATCTTCCTATCCAATGAATATCATCGTGATCTACAATCTTCCTATCCAATGAATATCATCGTGATCTACAATCTTCCTATCCAATGAATATCATCGTGATCTACAATCTTCCTATCCAATGAATATCATCGTGATCTACAATCTTCCTATCCAATGAATATCATCGTGATCTACAATCTTCCTATCCAATGAATATCATCGTGATCTACAATCT